TTTTGGTAGACAGGTCTGTTCCTTCAGAGAACAGAGTACTGGAAGCAGAGGGACCAGTGTTCGAGTCGCTTTCTGGACGGAGACTCCAATGAATTCGTTGGGGACTAGGCATTGATGTGATGACATACGGGTGACTACTATTTGGGCGATGCGAGAAGAGTTGTCGCACACACAAGATGTGCTGCACACGCCAAACAAGGGTGCTGATTGATGGAAACTGGCCACGATCGGTGGGTGCTACTATTGGAACTGCAGCTGAACCCTTCGACTGCCGCTCCTGGTAACGACGGTCGACCAGTGACACATTTCGCTTCCAAGTTTGCCTGCATGGCCTCTGATGCCTGATGCCCACGCTTGGCACTGTGATGTGGTGCCGCCCGAATTAAGACTCATCGCAGAAGGTTTAAAACAATCAGGGCTTTGCACGACTTCCAGGCGCGAAGCGGGAAGAATTTAGTGAGTCACAATGCGAGTGGTGGGTGAATTGCAACTTTCCAGGCTCTTTGGTGGTAAACACGAATAACGGTAAGGGTAACGATTTGGAAAGAATCAAAAGGTCAAATCAGCAAATTTGCCCTATCTGCATCTCCAAGTACACACTCGGACATGCACTAGAACATGTATGTATGTGTAGATACATACGCACAAACACGATACATACTTTGCTGAGCATTATTTTAGAGCTCAGTGCTCAGACTCAGATGCGCAGGTCCCAGATTCAGCTTCCGCTGTACTATGAACGATGCATGTCCATATTCACAATTCAATAAATACATTTATACATATTCACGATTATACATACACTATCAAGCTGGTTTCAAACAACCGACCATGCACTAGAGTCCAGCAAGTTGGGTGTTCAGGACTCCAGGCCCCATGAGCGTCTCCCAGCTTTCGGATTTCGGTTCAGACCGCGGCAGACCATAACAGACCGTGGCGTAACGTTAGCGTAACTGAAAGTCAGCGTTTTAGCACGTTAGCAGCTTTCAAGCCTTCAGCATGAACGCATGATGGTTCACGAATAGCAATTGCTTCAAACACACCTGTGAATACTCGACCGCGCTAACTTTATATCCTATCACTTTGCTAGTGAACCTTTCTTGTTGAAACACTGTGAGCGAAGCTGTATCAGGCCCCTTGTTGATGAAGAAGGTCGTGAACCGTGAAGCGTGAAACGTGAACTGTGAAATGATGTGAAATGTGGGTGTGTGAACGTTGGAACGTGAAAGGTTTGAAGTTGAACGTTGGATGAGCGTGGAGATTTGATATTCGAAACGTTGTGATGCATCACATCTACAGATTGAAGAGGCAAAGTCTGGTCAGGTCTAGCAGGGCTTGGCCAAACCAGCCCAGTGTAGGTCAGCGGAGTCGAATCAAGACGTGGCTTGAAAGCGCAAGTGTTGCATCTGTTGCGTTGTTGCATTTGCAGGCGGGTAAAATTGTTGGCACCAGAACAGATGACACAACAAAACACCTGCAGAACGCGAGTGCAGAAACTTGAAAGCGCCCCTCTGCTGTCACAGGAGTTGCCACCGGTATGCCAAAGCAGTGCGTATATGTAGAGCAGATCAGGGCTTTGCAAGAATCAGTGCAGCTGGGAACTTCAGGGCAGGTCAGGGGCGAAGGCGAGGCGCAGGGCGCACGCTGCATCCCCCTCATGCTCAATTTGAATTGCGGATCCGACGACAAGCACGGCTGAAAGTGATCGAACAAGAACTTTCCGGAAAGGGCCACAACCCTAAAGCTGCGCCTTGGTGCATTCAAAGGGTCTCAGAGTGAAACCCTCACGCTTGTTTGACGCTTTTGACTGCTTCATGCTGAGACTCCTATCTACGAAGACCATGTCTCGCACTGGTGAAAGGGTTCAGGCGCTCAAGTGTCATTGGAGAGGATGGTATTGTGAATGCACGAAACGATGAATGATCGAGAACCGAGAACGCGGGCGCTGGACGAATTGCAGATTGGTGCATATGGACCACGGGATTCTTCACGGGTCAAGCCTGACATTTGTCTGACGCCCAACAGTGGATCACGGCGTCATTGCACTCCTCGCACCCCCGTAGGGAGCCTAGGCATCTGCCTATAACCAGACCCTTCGCGAGTCCATAAGAAGAGTGGCCAGTCATGGCGCGTAAAGGTGCGAGGTGCACATTGAGCACGTATAACCGTTTGATCAGCCCGGGCAGTACGGCGGGTGGCCGTCAAATTCATTGCAAAGAAAACAATCAGGTAGTCGTTGGTATTGAGTGAGAACACCTGATGACGGCAAGGCAGAACACCGATACTCATCGGTAAACCGGTTGTGGTGAGCTAACTACTAGGCAACAAAGCCAGTGGTGTGTGAAGTGTGATGCTACAGATGCAATGCGAATGCTAACGATGTCCACTGAGAGCGGGGAGGACCTTGGGGATGCAGGCAGCGCTGAGGCGCACGCGATGTGTCCTAGAGAAAATGAGAACGCACACCGCATACGAAGCCTGTGTTTGTCAACGTATCTATCGTATAGATCCAGTCTGCGACGCAGAGTCGAGCAAGACGGTCGATGCGTGTCCGGAAGCGAATCGGGCATGTAGACTCCGATCAACACATCTCAAAACCTTTGACCGCCCGATGGAAAACCAGCTGCGCACCCGCTGTGCGCTCGGCGTGGCAGTTCAATACGCTTCCTCAGCCGACTCGCGAACTAACCGCCGAACCTTTTTCTTATACCCAGGAAAGTCTTCCCGCACCTGCTTGGCAGCGTCGACGTTCGCCGGGCTGTCCGTGTTGGGCTTATCCGAGGACAGCAGGCTGATGACAGACAGCAAGATCGACTCCACGCTGTGCACCGGCATCCACCGCTCGCCGGCATCCTCATAGCCGTATTGGTCCGCGCCAGGCGCGTGCAGGATCGAGATACAGACTGTGCCGTCATCATAGACTATAGCAATGACATGGTGCGGAGATCCAAAGGCATGGATCAGTCCGAAAGTCTTCTGAAGCAATAAAGGGAGAATCTGACTTACTGTTCGGATGCCACATCTTGGTGAGGAATTTCATCTTGGGTGGAAGAAGCGGGTACTCGGGCGGGAAGATCAGCTCTGCGCGAAGGAATCCTCCCTCGTACAGTGTGTCGTTCGGCCCAATGATCATGATCTCCCACTGCAGAGAGACAGACCCAGTCAGTTCAGAGCTTCCGGATCAAAGGAGCGGGAAAGGGATGCTCCGTCGCCGCCTGAGCACGCCTTGACTGATATGAGTTGAGCCCTCCCACATCCCAGATAAGACTTCTGGAAGGCAGTTTACGTCCGGCCCGACAGGCACATACGCGCAATGCCGCCAGTCCTACTTTGAGCTCCCTCGCTGCTACCGCGGCATGGCCTTCTAATACATCTGAAGCAGAGCGAGAAGGCCTGCTACGTTCGCAAGTAGACCGATGCATAATGGCTAGCGACCGATCCACACTTACTTCGTACAAATTGCTCTCATCTTTCAGGCCAGCGCTGAAGCCGTCAACCGGGTCTGTGTTAACGGACACAGGTAAGACGTGTAGCCGATGGGAAGGCGCACGGCAAAATGTCAAGACCAGAAGAAATGATTTTGTGCCCAAGTTTGAGCCGGAAGGAAGTGGCATGGATAAGGGTGCATGTCGATTGAGGGATTGGACGTGAGCATTTGGGGACGCAGGTGTCCAAGAACAGAATCAAGAGTAGGCATAGAGAGAAAATCACAGGTAGGGTCAGTATACTTGCCACACAAGGATGCGTTATTCATGACAAGGCCGGCCTTAACAAGCAGATAGCCAGTGCTACCGGCGTCGTGGTGTACCAGCAGGTGGCAAGCGCCGCTGACAGGGCCGACGCGTTAGGAAACGGAGGAGTTCTTGGGCGACTCACGTTTCCGAAGCTCTTGCAGTTGCCGCTTGAGCAGTAATGTATTGCCACTCGGTGATGCCGACATCTTGTTGCATCAGTCGTTCAAATCTAGGTGGAAGCCAGACCTTCGGTCTCTTTGATCGGGAATGAGCAGAGAAAGAGAGCCGCTGTAGGAAAACAAGTGCGAAATGCTTCTTGGGGTGTAAGCTAATCATGCAAAGCGTGGAGCAAGAGAACAAAGGGAGGCATCGTTGAATGCCGGAAAGCAGAGAAAAAGCAAACGAAATGGGAAGAGTGAGTCCGAGAGCCCTGCTGCCTCTAGCGATCAGGCGAGCATTAACGGAAGAACGGCGGTACTCACCTCGCGCTCCGTCTTGGTCGGCACAGTTCTCCGGCCGCTGGCGAGTCTTTCTTTCGCCTTCTGAAGAGACCCCTTGAAGGCTGTTGACTTGTGCTGATGCTTGCTTTCGACAGTCAGACAATTCACACTGCTGAAAGATGTAACCCTCGAGGTCAAACTGGTGGCCATCATATCATTGCATTGTTTGCGGTGGGGGCACACGCCGTCAAGCACCCACAAATTCTGACTTAGGATGCCTCTGGTCACTATCTGGCTCGCCCCCTGGCCATAGTTCATCACAGCCAACAGGGCCACAGGCCAGCCACCAGAGCCCAGAGTTACGTTACACTGCCCAACCACCGAGACATAGGTTGGTACCTTAGGGTTGCCCCGTCAGGGCGGAACGCGTTCTCACTTGGTGAAGTGCAATTAGATTCGTGCGGCGTCCCTACAACTTTTTCTCGTTCCAGTGTTGCATATAGATGAGTTTGGGTGGACCTCGTATACAGGCAAACGAGGTGAATACGCAAGGACACAAGAGGCGGCTGGATCGAGCTGAGGACAGCTAACTACTGAGTCGAAACCACCCAGAGAAGCGAGTGGGGACGGGAGGTGGAAACTGCCAAAAATCTGCGGTTACACTTTGCAAGGAGTGAGCCCGGCTCCGGCATATAGACCCTTAGGTAGTGTACGCTTGCGCAAACAAGAGGCACACTAGCCATGCCTCGAGCCGCGCCAACTGCTCGGCGTGGTAAAGTCACCAAGCGCGAGGATGGGGAGAAAGCCGAGCCAGCCACCGCAGAGGCAGCGTTTCAGGAGGCAGAGGGTGTCGAAGCACACATGGATCAGGACGTCGATATGCCGGCAGAAGCACCTGAGTGCGAGCCCGATCAGGGCGTCCATGCAGCAGCAGCTGCTGATGAGATGAACATCGACAGTGAACCTGTACATTCGCGTGCCAAAGGCTCCCAGCCCGCTAATGCGGAAACCCTGACCCAGCTACCCGGCAGCATCAAGGAAATGGCAAATGCATTGGCTTCAGCAAAAGGACCGGGCGGAGGCCCCAAATATGACTCGGCTGCGTTTCTGCAAGAGATGCACGAGGCGAGCAAGCTTGGCTTGTCATCATTTGATGCGCTGTCTGCGCTCAAAGCGAACATGCTGAACGGAAAAGGAATTATGGAGCCGATCAAAGAGGTTCAAGACAAATGGCAACTTCTACCCGCCTTCCTGCAAGTCAAGGGTCTTGTTAAGCAGCACATCGATAGCTTCAATTACTTTGTCGATGTTGGCCTTAAGCAGATTCTGAAAGCGAACAGTGAGGTCCGGTCGGACATTGATCCGAAATTTTACTGGCGCTACACAGATATTTACGTTGGCCAACCGCAGCGCCCAGGGGGCAGCGAGCAAGATTTCGACGTCCACGGCGGCGGCGGCGGCGGCGGAAACAAGCGCAGCTACAGGGGGGTCTTTTCGCCACAGGAATGCCGCTTGCGCGACATTACCTACTCTGCACCGATCTTTGTTGACGTTGAATACACTCGTGGCGGGAAGATTATCAGGCGGAGGCACATTGAAATCGGGCGAATTCCGATCATGCTCCGAAGCAATAAATGCGTGTTGGCGGGCAAGACCGAGAAAGAGCTTGCGCAGCTCAACGAATGTCCGCTGGACCCCGGTGGATACTTCGTGGTCAAGGGGACGGAGAAGGTTATCCTGGTCCAAGAACAGCTGAGCAAGAATAGAATCATTGTCGAAGCAGACACAAAAAAGGGAATCGTATTGGCTAGTGTGACCAGGTGAGTCTGTCACACTAGGGATATGTTCGTCACGCTGTCGTATCGTTTCTGACCTCTCTCTGCAATTGCAGTTCGACGGCAGAGAGAAAGTCAAAGTCGTATGTGGTGACCAAGAACAAGCAGATCTACTTGCGGCACAACTCGATCACCGAAGACGTTCCAATTGCGATCGCCTTCAAGGCTCTTGGCGTCACGACGGACAGGGAGATTGTCGAGCTTGCTGCTGGCCCTAATGAGGAGTTCCGAGAGCTGTTCGCCACCAGCCTGGAAGAGGCTGCCAAGCTCAGGGTTTTCACAAAGCGACAAGCGTTAGACTACATCGGCCGCAAGGTACGGCGCAACACACGACCCGGCGCGATGAGAAAGCCTACATATGAAGAGGCGATTGACGTGCTCGCAACTGTCGTCATTGCTCACGTCCCAGTTGACAACCTCAATTTCCGCCCCAAAGCGATCTTCCTGTCGACCATGGTTCGCCGAGTACTGATGTGCATGCAAGACGAAAAGCAAGTGGATGACCGCGACTATGTTGGCAACAAGAGGCTTGAGCTCGCCGGGCAGCTGCTCTCGCTGCTGTTTGAAGATTTGTTCAAGAGGTACAACTACGACCTGAAGGTCGCGTTCGACAAAGTGATGAAGAAGCCGCATCGCACGTCGGAATTTGACGCCAACCACCACCGGCAGTACCACACGGATCACATCACCTCTGGCTTTGTGCGAGCGATCAGCACAGGTAACTGGAACTTGAAGCGATTCAAAATGGAGCGAGCGGGCATTACGCACGTCCTTTCGCGTCTGAGCTACGTTGCAGCGCTGGGTATGATGACGCGCATCAGTTCACAGTTCGAAAAGACGCGCAAGGTCTCTGGTCCACGTGCATTGCAGCCGAGTCAATGGGGCATGCTCTGTCCGTCGGATACGCCGGAAGGAGAGGCGTGTGGTCTGGTCAAGAACTTGGCACTCATGACACACATCACCACAGAGATCGAAGAGAAGCCGCTCGAGACGCTTGCCTTCATGCTCGGTGTCGAAGATGCCAGCCTGCTGACCGGCGCAGAGATGTATCGTCCCGACTCGTACCTTGTTTACCTCAACGGCGTCGTCATCGGGCTCACGCGCTATCCAGTACGCTTCGTCACGGCTTTCCGCAAGCTCCGGCGTGCTGGGCGCATATCTGAGTTCGTCTCCATCTACACCAACAGCCATCAGCAAGCTGTGCACATAGCTTCGGACGCTGGCCGCATCTGTCGCCCGATGATCATTGTCGAAAAGGGTCAGCCAAAAGTGCGGCGAGAGCATATTTTATCTCTGCAGCGAGGTGATATGACCTTCGACGATTTTTTGGCTGCAGGCCTGATTGAATATCTCGACGTCAACGAGGAGAATGACTCGTATATCGCTCTGTATGAGCGTGAGATCATTCCGGCAACGACCCATCTCGAGATCGAGCCGTTCACCATCCTCGGGGCGGTGGCTGGGTTGATTCCATACCCGCATCACAATCAGTCGCCGCGAAACACATATCAATGTGCTATGGGTAAACAGGCCATTGGTGCGATCGCATACAACCAACTCAACCGTATCGACACGCTGCTGTATCTCATGGTCTATCCACAGCAACCGATGGTCAAGACCAAAACGATCGAGCTGATCGGGTACGACCGTCTACCAGCAGGCCAGAACGCCATGGTCGCGGTCATGTCCTACTCAGGGTACGACATTGAAGACGCTCTCGTCCTGAACAAAGCGTCCGTCGATCGAGGATTTGGTCGCTGCCAGGTGATGAAGAAGACGACTGTGCAGTTGCGTACCTACAACAATGGTTCGCACGATCGCATCGGTGATGTCCCCAAAGACGCCAACGGCGAGGTGCCGCGCAAGTATGAGATGCTCGGCGTCGACGGGCTGCCCGAAGTGGGAGCCGAGGTCAGGGAGGGTCACGTGTACATCAACAAGCAGTCGCCGACGACGGCCAACGACACTTCCGACTCAGGTATGGTCGCTAACGAGTCGCAGACAGTTTATCGTTCGAGTGGCGCGACGTACAAACTTAAGACGCCATCTTACATTGACCAGGTGATGATCACCGACTCTGATGGAGACCAACAGATTATCAAAGCGCTCCTCCGCCAGACACGCCGGCCCGAGCTGGGCGACAAGTTCTCCAGTCGTCATGGACAGAAAGGTGTTTGCGGCCTGATCTCGCCGCAGGCAGACATGCCGTTCACCGACCAAGGCATTAACCCTGATGTCATTATGAACCCGCACGGGTTCCCCTCGCGTATGACGGTCGGCAAGATGATTGAGCTGCTTGCAGGGAAGGCGGGCGTGATCACGGGCCAGTTGCAGTACGGCACGGCGTTCGGCGGCTCGAAGGTGGAGGACATGAGCCGGCTGCTGATCGAGAACGGGTTCAGCTACTCTGGCAAAGACTTTTTGACGAGCGGCATCACAGGAGAGCCGATGGAGGCGTACGTCTACTTTGGGCCAATCTACTATCAAAAGCTGAAGCACATGGTTATGGACAAAATGCATGCACGTGCGCGTGGCCCGCGCGCTATCCTTACGCGCCAACCTACCGAGGGTCGTTCGCGGGATGGAGGTCTGCGTTTGGGAGAGATGGAGCGCGACTGTCTGATTGGATATGGTGCGTCCCGGCCACTTCATAGCACCTCTTCATTAGTATGCGATTGACCACTTACTTGTCCTCTTGGTCCTCTGCAGGCGCAACGCAGCTTCTGCTCGAACGGCTGATGATTTCGTCGGACGAGTTTCCCGTTGACGTGTGTCAGAGCTGCGGATTGCTTGGGTACAACGGCTACTGCAGTTACTGCAAGAGCAGCAAGGCGGTTTCTAACATCAAAATTCCGTATGCCACCAAGCTCCTGTTCCAGGAGCTGATGGCCATGCAGGTCGTCCCGAGGCTTGTGCTTGAGGTGGGTCTCAGTTCGCGCTTCCTGCTGGTGCCGAATGTACCATCCATTGACGTTCCCACCGCCTTTCATTCCTGCAGGATGCCGTCTAAAACAAGCTAATGCGTCTCGATAGATCCAGCGCCTCCTTTGCAAGTACCATTGTAGCATACGTTGCATTACACCACGACAACCGCACTGCCTCGAAAATAATGTGCAATACCTTTCTATGATAGCGACAGGAACAACAAGAAAAATGGGATGACACGCAGAGCACCCGCATCAGAGCCTCGCCTTGAACACCCTCGTCTCTGTACCGGGGCCGATGTCACCTAGGAGATGGCGGCGGATGTACGGGTTCACAAAGACATTGTGCGGGTCCACCTGCTGCCGGAGCGCGAGGAAGTCGTCCCAGTGCGGGTAGAGCATGCGCAGCTCTATGGGTCCGCAAGTGTGGGCCTTTGCCCAGTGGGGCCTGCCATTGTAGTGGCGCATGAGCGCCTCGAACTTGGCGAAAAGGGCGCGATAGCGCACATTAGCGTTGTACGGGCGGTACATGACGATGCCAATGAAGCAGGTCGGGCGCGCATGACAGTGCGACAGCCAAATCCCGTCCGGCGCTGCGAAACGGATCTCGATGGGGAAGTGGACCTGTTCACCAGATGCCAGGCGCGACTCTTCGGCGAGCCAGTCGCGCAGTGCGCGGATGGCATGCGCAGATAACTCGAATGGGATGGCCCACTCGTTGGTATACTGCGGGAAGAGGCAGTCCATGTTGTAGATAGTGTGCGAGATGCCCGTCATGGTGGACGACACGTGCTCCGGGTGCAGCGGCTGCAGAGGCGGCGGGTAGTCACGCGGGGTCATCGTAAGCACCTCACCGTTGCTGCTACTCAGATCGCTGGCGTCGTGACCATCCGTGCTTGCGGGGGCATTTGGCAATGCTGCGTGGCTGGTGGTGCCGACGGGCTCAGCGAACGCCTGGAGCGTCGCATCCGCGTCTTGCACAAGAGCCTCGCGCTGCTCCTGCTCCTGCTCCAGGTGTCTGGCGATGGTGATTGGCGCATGGAGCCCCGTGGCGCGTGCTTGCACGGCGCAGACTGCCTGCGGCTGCGTTAGGCGGTGGATGATGCGCACAGCGGCGGGTGTCCAGCTGCGACGGAAGCGCGCCGCATAGAGCAGGAACTCCGTGAGACCGTGCGCGATGAGGCGCGTGTGCAGCCGCTCAGTGAGTGGAGGACTCGGCGTGCGCGCATGCGGCTGCGGGCCGTCATACCGCATGCGGTCGGCGCGCAGGAGCGTGCACATGCCCAGCTGTGGGAACCACATGATGCGGACGTGCTGCGCGCTGCACACGACTTCGTGCAGGCGGCGTTGCGCACGCGCGCTGATGGTTGCTTCTGCGTCTGCCTCCTCTCGCCTATCCCCGCAGGCGGTAGCTGATAACGATGATGATGGGGAGGAGGAGAGTGGGCACTCGATACAGGTGCGTACCAAATTGCCCTGTGCGTGCGGTGCGTCTGCAGTAGCGGGAAATGAATAGGGATAAATGATGGACGGGTCCGAGAGTGTACGCGCTCGTGCGCGCAGCGGCAGCATGGCCGCGAGTGGCGGGAGCCTGACGCTGTGCGCGAGGAGTGCGCCGATGCTGTGTGCGCGCGGGGCGCCTTGCGCCGGCGACGCGGCGCCGAAGAGAAAGTCGAAGCGGACTTGCTCGCTGAGCTGGCGAAGGCGGAACGCAGGCTCGACGGCGAGCTTGACGCGCACGATGAGGCCCGTGGCACCGAGTCCGCAGAGCGTCGCGTTGAAAAGCTTGGGGCGCACGGTGCGGCTACAGTGCAGTAGCTGCGTGCCGCCACCCGCTTCGCCGCATGTGATGACGTCGAGCGCGAGCACTTGTGCTGAGACGACGGGGAAGGCGATGCCGGAGCCGTGTGTGGCGGTGGAGATGAGTCCGCCGATAGTCTGCTCCGAGATCGAGCCGACATTAGTCATGGCGAGGGGGACGGGTTTCGCGGCGGCGAGGAGCGTGTGCATGTCCGAAACATACGTGCCCGCAAGGACCGTGATGCTCGGCTGACCTCTTGTGCGCGCTGCACGCGTGGCATGTGCGTCCCAGAGTGTATCATGCGTATCGAACGCGTTGATCTGCACGCAACCGCTGAGACCATCCATACGTACCATCCAGCCCTCACGGCCGCTGTCGCCGCCGGCCATCATAAGATCGCTGGGGGAATGCGCGCGTCCAACGGCGCGGAGCTCGACGGGCGCCGCAGGCGCGCGAGCAGTAGTAACATCATCATGATGTGTGGCGGGAGCTGAGGTTATGTTGCGCCTGCGCGCAAGCTCGACGATCGCCAGGCATTGCGCGACGTGCGTCGGCGACCAGAGCACGTGCGGCGCCGCGACAAAGGTGCCTCCCCAGTTTTCGACTGTGTGGCTGCGGCGGGCGGCGGTGCTGTCAGACAGGCGCGCCGGCTGAGCGAGCGCCGAAAGCGCGGGCGTTGAGAGAGCACGGACGTCTGGCAGAGTGCTGTCGCTGTGCGCGTCGAGTGTCTCTGCGTTTGCTGATGGTAGTGGTGCATCGCCATGAAGCGTGCGTGGTGGCAAGGGGGGCAGCGCGTCAGCGGGGACGACGTGCGCTAGCGCTGGCGCTGGGGCGGATTCCGATGCCGATACCGAGGCCAACATGGTCTGAAACCTGGCTGCTTGCACTGATCTCTCTCTTCTTGGGGATGGGAGTTGGAGCAATCCCCAGCAGTAGGCACGCCAGCTTGACCGGTGTGGGGGCGGTGATGCACAGCCGCAAGTCCTGCACGCCTCTAAACTTGCCAACCGTTGTGCCTTTGCGACACGGGCTGCTCCTTCCCTGTTCGCCGGCGCACCACCGCTGTTGCTGCTGTGCCTTTGCCTGGAGGGGCGCAGCAACAGCAGTAGGTGGGATAGAAGGAGGGATGGGATGGGGAAAGCTTGGAATCGTGTAGCACAGGTACCCGACATTTTCTTCCCTATTTGTCTGTTGCATGGCATTGCATTACATAAGCAGCGCCGATCAGAGCGCTACATGTTATCGCCGAGGAGGCAGAAGAGAGGAGCAGATGCCAATCGACACCTCCGATCACGTAATTAAAATGAAAGCACTCTCATTTGGGTGCACGGTTGCTTATGTAATACCCGGCGCAAGTACCAAGCGGAAAATACAAGGCACTGTCTCACTCGTTGCACCTTGTAGGAGCCGTCGGACGCAAGCTTGCCGTACATCTGCAAGCCATTGTGCTGAGGGGGGAACATGGCCCAGTCTAGCTAGACCCATGGTGGGTGGAGCACCGCAGACGAGCGTGGTACAAGGTGCAGGGTGCAAGCGCGTTCCTTCTTGTCTGGAAGCATGTTCTCCCGGCATGCACATACTATGGCTGGTCGGAGAAAGCGAAGCGCATCACGATGGGCTCTGGGTGATACGTAGCAGATCACGGCCGACAGCGGAGTCGAGAGCATTAGCACGGTGCAGACAGCTTCACAGAGAGCCTCCGCTCGTGCGCGCACTCGTCCTAGATTTTCCATCGTTGCAAAAGACTGCCTGTGAGAAGGTAGACCGAGCATGTTCTTAGCTTGCGGATCCATCCCTTGTATTTTGTGTCTGCCCATGACGTGGGTGGGGGCAGCGGACACTCGCCAAAAACCCTATGCTTTGACGGTGATAAATCGGGTGTATTCGGGTTGAACTGTACGCGACAGCAGGGGGACCATGGCGGTCCGGGCGATTCAACCCAACGCCAGCGGAGGGCTGGGCAGGGGCCGTGAAGGTGCATTTGATCTCTCCGAAAAATATGCAGCTCGCCTGTGGGCGTAAGGTTGCCCAGGTTATAATCGAGCTTCATCGTCCATTCGGCCACGTGGGCGACCCGTAAAGTCCAAGAGAAAGGAGTGATGCATTGTTGTCGCCCGACGACGAGGCATTTCGACAGCCGCAGGGTGAACATGGGCGTATAGCAGATCACTTGAAAGAAACGCGGGAGGCGCAACAGAAAGCCCAGCAATAGGCAGGGAGGCGGGCCATAGCAGTAAATGTTGCATGTACGCCTGGCAAGCAACTCGACTCCAGCGCCATCGATATCCACTTGTGCATCGAAACAAACCCTTCAAGTCAATCTGCAGCTTCGAACGCTTCCCGGGTGGGATTCGTCTCAGCGACCTTACGAAACGCAAGCGACATCCTGAATCCGCAACGTGCTCAGACGTTTGCACGGCCAAGTAAAACTCAGTACCGTCGCCGAAGCCAAGTCCATAGCTGCTTTTATCTAGTCGACACAGTCCTGGGCTTGTACGAAAGATTGTTCAAGAGCGACGCATTGAATCATGTCTATTTATAGGCAAGAACTTACGTTCCTGCGCGTTAAAGGGGACGCGCAGGTGAGCTGAACGAATCCTTTCGCAAGCAAAGAGTTGAGCGAACGCGAGTCGCAAAGGTCGACTCAGGCCGGCATGGAAGCTGCGAGGCATTCTTGAGTTAGAGAGTTTCAACAGTGCGGCAAAGCAGGCTCATGATCTCCTAGATGGTGCCGCCGACTAAGGTTGAGAGCTGGCCAAAAGGACAAGGGTGTACGCAATGGTCATTTATGAACGGAGCGCACGTGCACATCATACGTCGCACTTGTGCCTCAACAGCCATCCTTCTGCTTTTCGGAACGGCTCGCGTTGTATGTAATAATGGGAGGTGGGAGGTTCGGTATGATCGGTGGTGAAGGAGCACAGAAGGTGGCGAAGGCGCAGTGAGGTGTAACTGGATTACTCGAACAAGCTCGTGAGGACAGGCGGCAGTGGCGCAAAGCTGCTGACTGCCCTATGACGCCCCCACGACTCACCAGCAGGCTGACAGCCGAGCACCTCATTCACTTTCGCACGGTACACCTGACGTCTGGCTATCTCGCCCAAAGCTCAAATTGTTACTCTACCGAATGCCATAACGATGTCGACAAAATGCAGGTCGACAATTGCCAGCGCCGAGCATTCGGAGAGCACATGCGAGGGCACTCATTGAGTCCAAATCGAGAAAAGTTGTTAGTGTTCATAGCGTGGGGAAAAATCGCGTGATCGACAGATTGCAGATTGCGAGAAGAACAGTTGTGCACTTGAAAAAAAGCAATGCAAGTCCTCATCCTGCTCGCGCCCATACTGTTCGCTCCGGAGAAGCCGCAGTGCTGAGCCAAGTAGGCACGTGCTGTGATTTATACACTAGCTGCCCCCATGACCTGCATCATCTCTTCATAGATGGTGAACACGATACCGCCTGAGAGCACGAGCCTGGCAAGACGGGTGGTCGATCCGCGCCATAGCGCACGTACGCCTTCTTCGCGCACAGTGGTAGTGAAGCAGTTGAACGTCGAAGAGTACCGTTGTTTCGCTTCGAGCGACTGCATCCGCGTCTTGACAGTGTCAAATGGCATAGTCGTGTCTGTTTGATGGACGAGGAACGATGATCGATCAGTACGATGTCTCATCTCGAAGAATGCTGATTGCGACTTACAAACGGTGATGACACCCGCCGTGGCGCCGATTGCGAACGTAACACCGCCAGGCAGCGTCTGGCCTGGTCGAGCCGATCCCTGGACGAGATTTTTGATGGTGCTGTAGCTGCCAAGACGGACCATGCTGTTGGCTCCTTGTCTGAGCATGACGGGGAATAACCCGCGGTAGATGCCGCTGATGCCTTCCTCGCGCACAATTGCTGCTGTACCGCCGATCAAAGTAGGCGGATACCGGCGCACAGCGCGCTTGCCATCATCAATGAGCTTGGTTCTGCAATGTCGCGATGTTTGTCAATATAGCAATGCAAGAGACCATTCGTTATTTTTTCACTTACTTGATCGTTTCGGACGGGGTTACTGCAAAAATTGCCTCCATCATGCCAGCGCCTAGACCTGCGATCAAACTCCTCGGCCCACTCAATCTCCCCTGGTCATCTCGTAGCAAGGACTTGAAGTGATCAAACGCGAGAAATCTCACGCCAGCCTACACTCAGATAGAAATCGGTTAGCCAAGCGCTCTAGTTTGATAATCATAAGGGGGTAAAGAGCACCGACCTTTACCGCATTCCCAGTCACCAGGGCACCACACCCGTTATACAATCCTTTGATGCCATCTTTGGCGACGGTCGACCTGACAATATGTATCGGCCCTGGTGGCTGTTCAGACAAAGGATTCAACGCCTTAGCGGTCATTTCTGAAGTCGAGTGTTACCCTAAAGTGATAGCCAGCTAACCTTTTCCCCATTCCGCTGAGCAAATTGCGCCACCGTCTTGGTGTACTCTATCGGATAAGTCACGAAGCCTTCGACTGCACCAGCCGTAGCACCCGCAATGAGCGAGTGCATCGGCTTGTCCCTCCTTGCGGCTATGATATTCGGTGTCTGGTTAACGCCAAGCTTGCCGCTAATGCCTGGACCATGTTGCGACGAGGACGATGATGATCCAGTCATGATCGTTACCTCGGTCTCTGATGCAAGTTATTCAGCCGGCCTGGAGTTGAGGTCTCACTGAGCGCTCTTTCCGATATATCACTGGTTACTCGGCACCTTTTACGTGTGGGCGTAGCTTTGACCGAGGCCTGCTTCGGGCTGCAGCAACTATACAACACCTCAAGCTCAGAAAACAGATGTGCAAGCAAAAGCTTGATGGTGAAAGAGAGTACGAGAGGGAAGTTGGCTCTGGCGGGCACAAAGGCGAGGACAGTTCTTTCATTTCGACATTCTTTTTTTTGCGCGTTGCTTTATGTTCACCATGTTTCTACTTGTGGCATTGTCTCCGTTCAAAGGCGTCTCAATCCACTCAGTATCTCCATTCTCGATCATCCCATGGCATCAAGGTATAGGGCCTGAAAGGTGCGTCCCACCATCGAAAGCCAAGCGCTTCACTTTGGCCCTTGATGGCGGGCACCCACTGGGGCTCGATGCCAATGGAGAAACCCCCGATGATATCGAGGTTGTTGGACGGCAAAAGCTGCGCCTGGATCGTTCCCGCGAGGCCGTTCTCGCGATCGCAGAGCCAGTAGTGGGTTGCGAGCCCCGTCTACTGGTTAGCGCGCCGTCGCTCATTCAGTTTCCGAGACCCGTTCTCTTCAGACCACCGAGTGCCCACTGTTTCGTTGCGCCCGGCAAGCTGATCCGGTGTGACAGGTCCAGCGTTGCGCCTTGGAACGACTTCCTAAGCGACTTGACCTGCGACGCGTTTATCTGCGGAAGAAACAGCGTGTCGACCGTTTCAGGCTTCAGGATTTGCAAGCCCGTATTGGAGTACTTTCCATTGTTGAGCAGTGCCCAGCGGATCTGCACGTACTCGGAACTCTTGCCATCCAGACCTGCCTCGCCCTACTGAATTTCGATCTAGATTGTGAAGTCGCCCACGTTGCGCGTCAACAACGACGCCCTTGAGCTATACCCCACAAAGAGGGATGCAGAACTCATTCTCACCCTGGTGTGATTGACAAAGTACTAAGAAGCCATCAGCGGCCTGTTTAATGCATCGACGTGGAAGTCACGGCAGCGAAAGGATACACGTGCCACGCATGTGTTACTTGCCGAATATTCCACATTTGTTTCCCCGTTCATTCCCTCCGCTTGAGCTCTTCCACACGATGCGCGGTGCGCCCCGATCTATAGTCTCTCATCCCTGCAGCCAGTGAAGCCTGCTGGTTGGGAGACGTAATCACCGTACTGAGCTCAAAGCTGGAAGCCGGCAACAGTCTCTGCACATGATGCAGGAACGAACGAGAGATCGGCACAACGCTTCTCCGTCGCTTTGCTTGACATGTCGCTTGTGTTAATAAGCGAAGCCGCAAATACCATCGTAAGGACAAGTGCGAACATCTTTACAAACAGGCCGAATACAGGTACGGCCCAGAACAAAGGATAAGGAGACGACTTGAAGGGCGAAAAGTATGAGCGAAGAGATGGATGAATGTAGTACATGCATGTGCTGAGGGAGGCACGGCTTTTAGGGGAGGAACAAGGGCGAAGGAGACTAGGTGATGATAGCACGTAAAGGCGGCAAAAGATCAAGGGCCAGAGCAACTGCTCGCCCAGCACGCTCGTACCACTGCATTCTGACATGCATCCGATGCCCCCACCGCCATCCACTCAGCTGCCCTTCCCCTCCTCCATCGCCCATCCTCCAGGTGTGCTTGCCACCTCTCATCATCTACTGCGCTGCATCGTCCATGCATCTTTCTCATCTAGCGCCGCTCTGCTGTGTGTGCGTGTGTGTGTGCGTGTGCTTGCGCGTGCGTTGGCGGGTGTGTATGCCTGCCTCTACCAGTCAACGCCGAGCGAGGGGGTGCTCTTCGGTGCGCGCTGCGGAGACTGGAGTTGGATTGCGGGGTGTTTTGGGAGGGGCAGTTTACTTGCCAGCGGGGGCCTCCTTCCAAGCGAGCGCCTGCTCCTCGCCCATGGCAGAGACAATGGTGACCATGAGGTCCTTGCCGTCGTCGAAGGCGGACTGGATCTCCTCGCCGAGCGTGCCCTCGGGGACCTTGACGTCGTCCTTGCTGGTGCCGTCCGAGGTCATGAGGTTGAGGAAGCCGTCGTCGACGTTGACCAGCTGGTACTCGTTACGCGAGACATTGGGGACATCCATGTTGTGCGTAGAGGGCGAGATGTCTTCAAGCTTCTTGCCCGTGAAGATGTCGACAGCGACAAGGTGCACCTTGGCGTGACCGTGCTTGCCCGTCTTGGACGTGGACATGTCAACAATCTATTTCAAGGAAAATGCATCATGTTAGATGTGAATTAAAGCGGATTGAGAGGCGCTGGCAAGTAATTCTCACCTTGCAAGGCCTGCCCTTGATAACGACGTGACCGCTCTTGCGCAGAGCCGAGCACTGCATGGGGAAAGTCAACGAGGCGCCGGCGTTGGCCGAGTCGAACTCGACATTGTGCTTCTCGTCGTCAGACTGTTGATAAAAGGGGGTCCAATCAGCCAGATGTTCGACAGTGAAAAGAGGTAAAAGCGAAGGAAGGAAATGGACAGAATTGAAGGCAAGGCCATGGGTGACCAAGCCAGGCAGGCTAGGATATCAGGGCACTGGCTAAATAACAGCCCTTGCTGCTGGTCAGCGCGATAGCTAAGACGATAGCAGAGGGTACCCCTCTCGTACAGTCGCCCTATTGTAGCCAGTAGGTGTGGTGTGGCTGCACTGCTTGATGCCGCCCGCATCACAACCATGCATGGCAACGTCCTAATCGTTGTTCACAGCCAGGGCTCGGCCAAGGCCCTTGGCCGGCTGGATTTTTCTTGAAAGATCGAGCAAAAGGGGGAGTGGCTGCAGCTCTTCCTCTCCCCTTTGCTGCAATCTTCGTTTTGCGCAATAGAGATACTCCAGAAGCTCGTATGCGCTCCACCAGCCTAGCTCAGCCCGGAGTGGCGGAAAGGAAGCCTGTTCTAGATCCACTGCATCTTTGCAGGTTCAATGGCGGCACCGATGCCTGCACAGGGAGGGCTGGGCTGGTCCAACGAGTGATGTGACAGGAAGGAAGGAGGTCTACCCGAAGAGAAGCATTCCCGCGGGCCGACGTGAAGCAGCGAGCAGGAAGAAGGGCGGGCGAGGCGAGGGAAAGGAAGCGGCGAGCCAACTTACCATGGTGGCTGTGAGTGAAAACTGGACGTGAATGCGCTGCTGGATTCGAAGAGGCCCAAGCGAAGGAGGAAATGTCGAACACCTGTCGAGATGGAGACGGGGTGGAGAGAAGAAGAGGTCAAAAAAGAAGGCAGGGGATGAGATGTGAGCTGGCAGTCGATCTGAGCAAGCAAAACGCAAGCCAAGCAGAACAGCGGCCGCTTCTGGCGAGAAGAGTTTTTTTTTTGGTGGAGGGAGAGGACAGCGGGAGAGTGCCCCCATAACCCAAGGCACTGCACCTGTGCGAGCCACTGTTGCTGGAGCGCAGCAACCCAGCGACTGCAGCGCGCCGCCCGCAGTGCCCCTCTCCCCTCACCACTGGCAGCAGCAGACTGAGCCGGTGGCGGCGGCGGAAGGGCGCAAGGAACTAGGCCTCCTGCAAAATTGAACCAAGCTCAATTCATCACGTGCCGCTCGACTCGACTGCATCGCAACAATACAAGCCATCACCTGACCTCCATCCGGCCAAACACCAGTGCACAGCTCACACCTCCCATCGCGCCTCACCCACCCCCCCCAAAGCACACAAGCAACAGTCTTGCCGCACTTGGCGCGCATCCAGAAAGCTATCCCTCCCTCCAGGCCAGGCAAAAGATACACGAGGCAGCAACAGCCGCAGCGTGCTGAGCACTCGGTTTCGCTTGCCAATCAGGCAGCCGGTTAAACACTGTGCAGCACGTCACGAATCAAGCCATTACGCGCCGCGCCGCGCCCTCCCCACTTACATCCGTCATTTTATCCACAGTCGAAGCCTCGCGACGCGTGCCCGTGCCAGAAAACGCGCACAGCGTACGGCACATTCCGTTTCTTCTGGCCCATCGCTGGTCGCGTATTCGGCCTCTCACCATGGCGGCATCCACCGCAAGCACGCAGCAGGCGGGGGGAGGAGCCGAAGTGGCGCCATCCTCGAACGCGTCCATTGTAGCAAGCATCGCGGACGGAGCAGCAGCAGCGGTCGCCGCGGGCGGGATCGAACCGCCCGTCATGGCTTCCGTTCTAGGCCTCTTGCGATCGGGTTTGTCGCAGGGAGGGCTAGGTACCGCCATCGAGATTCTCGTGAGTCGATGCTCCTTTTGTTCACCGTACTTATGCCGCCTCGCTCGTGCCGGACACGTCTTGCAAACTTGAAACTGAACGTTCGACCAACTGGCTGACTCCCCTTCGCCCGTATGTCTGCGCAGACACGCCAGCAGCAAGGACTCCCTGTCCCACCAGCCTCGAGCTCAGATCCGCAGCACGTGCAAGAAGCATGGATGCTCGTCAATACCCTCGGCAGAGCGCAAGGCGGGCCTGCATCTGTCCTGGCGTTGTTGCTGCAGCTCAAGAACGCGCGCGATGCGCACCAGCAGCCTTCTTCTACTTCCCGCTCTGCGGCCGCAGGACATGGGCCAGAGGTAGGAGCAGGAGCAGGGGCGGCAGCCGGGCACAAGAACGGGCACGCGCACAGCGCCGAGACAGATGGCAAGCTGGGGCTGCTGGACGACGCGCCGGCGCCGCCTGGTGCGGAGCACCTATCGATACCGCACGTTCCAGACCCTGCCGCCGCATCATCCTCGTCATCCAAAGCAGCCAGCTTGTCGGACGCCCGGGAACCGCGTGCAAATGCCATGAGCGCGAGCAGGAGCGGCGGTGCAGCGTCAACGTCAGAAGCGAGCGGGAGCACGGGCGCAGGCGGCGCAGACATAGTGGATGTTCCGCCTCCATCGTGGGAGGAGTCACAACAGCAGCAGCGGCTACAAGACAATAGCAGGGTTGGCGATGAAGGAGCCATAGATGGCGATCGGAGAGAGTCTGCACAGGGGCTCGTATCCCTCGGAACATCACAGACAGTGTCCGACGAAGTAGCAGGGGCAGGGGCATCAGGCGGGCGGACTGGCACCTCGGCTGCTGCTGCCGGGGACGAGTCCCCGTTGCCTGTTGTCGGAGATGCGAGCTTGGCGGGCGCCGACGCGGCGGCGGCGACGGGGAGGCGGAGAGGCCGCAAGCGAAAGGATGCGGCAGGCGTCGTCACGGATGGACCGCACATCAAGGCGCGGCTTGAGCAGGACGAACTACAGCGGAAGAATAGTCATGTGCGTTTCTTTCCCCCCCCTTTACGGCCTACTGTCAAGCTATCGAGCTGTCCGCTGATCACAAACCCGTTTCCCCATCACCGAAAAAAAAGAAAGAAGTCGAGCGCCGCCGCCGACACGCGATAAATGAAGCGATCGACTCGCTTGCCACCATCGTACCCGGTTGCGAAGCCAAGACGACGAACAAGGGCAGCATCATCACACAGGCTGTTGCGTACATCCACGACCTCAAGAACAACGAGGCGAGCAACATTGAGAAGTGGACGCTCGAGAAGCTCCTTATGGACCAGGCGCTCGACGACGCGCGCAACGAGGCCGAGCGCGCCATCCGCGAGAACGACCGGCTGCGCGAGGCGCTCGAGCGCGCGGGTATTGACGTCGACCTCGTCGCCGGAGACATCGACCTCAGCACCGGCGGTGACGCTCAGCAGCAACAGCAGCAGCAGCAGCCTCAGCCACCTGGACCGGCTTTGACGCCGGGTCGGTTGCAGGAGCCAAATACGCAGAAGCACCATCACCAATTGCAATTGGTCACGCGTGGCACCGGCACAGGCATGAACGGGGGCCATCGCGGGATAGACCATGGAGAAGAGGACGGGATTGTTGAGGCGGCCGTCGAAGCGCAGCTAGCCGACGTCGTCGCTGGTGGTGCTGGCAGCAGCAGTACCACCGCCCCCACCACCACCAACATGGCTCCCACTGCTGCTGATGTCCCCACGCCACCAGCTGACGCAAGCAGTGGCAGCGGCATAGGGGGCAAACGTGAAGCTCACGCTTTGCCTGACACGCCCACGCGGTCGGCCAAACGGGCGAAAACCTAATTGCGACGGAATCTGAGATCGCGCCAGGGTGCTATGTAAGGACTGGGAATGTCCCTAGCAGTGCAGTGCAGACCAATTTGCCAATCAATTGTATTCTTAAAGGTTGTAGTACGTCAAGTTCAAGCGTATCACATCGAGCAGTGGGACTGGACGAGTCGCCCGAGTCTAGGGTATCACGGAGGCCGTTACATCAGCGTTGATACGGCGAGGGTATACTAAAGAATCAAACTCTATCACGAGCTATTGGCTTTCGCGCCGCCGCACCGCGCCTCAGATCACATGCTGGCGGACCCATTTAACGAAGCTAGGCACGTCCTCAGCGATCTTGCTGGGCAGGCTCCTTTCGGTCAGCCATGTGGGGATTCTGCCGGCTGGGTCGCTCTGCGTGCTCATTCTCCACGCCGTCGTCCCGTCCGCCTGCTCCGCAACGGCCTCGACGCTGACGTACCTGCCGCGGATGTATGCGCCTCTTTGCTGCGGCGCGGCGTCGTGGGATACTGGGACGCTGATCACGAGGAACGAGCGCAGCCGCTGCGCTTCGCCATCGTCGGCCGGTGGCCTGGGAGCCGCCAGCTCGCTGTTTGAGGTGGGGAAGAGAGTGGAGAGCTGCTCCTTGACGAGAGCTTCGTGCTCCTCAGAAAATGGGGACGCGTGCGCGGGCAAGTCGACGGTGATGATCAGCTCGACAAAGTCGCGGTCTTTCGTTATGATGGGCAGCTTGTCTGGAATCAGTTAAGCGAAACACAGGTGGGACGTCGTCAGTGCCCATGCTCGGTAGCGGGAGAGCGTGCTTACGGGAGCGTGTGGCATACATCCGTTTCTCCATACTTCGGCGGTAGTGCCAAAGAATGAGTCGACCTTGGTAGTCTCCCTGATGGCATGAATGTATTTGGCCTCGTTTGGCGAGTGGTCGAGGAGCAGTCCAGCTCTGAAGGCCTCGTACTTGGTTTCCGTGTGGATCTGAATTGCGGCGATGTTATTGAAGCCCATCAATGGAAAAATTTCTTTCTCGAATTACATGACTGCGCGGAGTCGATTTAAAGCTCACACTGGTTCTACCGTGCCAGCTTAGATTCCCCTCGCGGCCCGACATAGTGCTCTCGCTCGAGAAGGTCTGCACGTGGCCACCATCCTGGCTTGCGTTCGTGAACTTCTTTCCGTTCTTCCACTTCAGGCTTTCTCGCGTCAGTGCAATGCTGCGCAGTGTGTAGGAGCGCAGAACTTCTTCGCGCGCTGTGTCCCCTGTCGGATATGACGAGAAGGGCGTAACGGTCAAGTTGAGCGGAAACTCGGTTGTGGTGGCCATCTTGAAGTGAGTGAAAGGGCTGCGTAGGATGCGACGCAGGGGCTGGAACTTTCTACGATGTCGGCATGCGAGACGAGGCAAGGCAATGTTTAAACGGATAAAGACGTGCAGCAGGATACGATGACCATGCCGCTCTGTCGAGGAGATCCCCTCCTAAAGGTCAGGACGATGCCGCAGGCTCGATCACTCTTCTACATGTGAAGATGGGTAGAGTGCTACAGTGCCAGATATGTGTGTGTGCCAACTTCTCCATTCTGAGTTTCTTCATGCCGCGGGATTTGGATGCTCGGGCATCCGAGTGTCTCCCCCCGCCGCCAGACCAAGTCAAGCTGCTGGGTGGACACTCGATCCATGACTCTACTAATCATCATCGTCCAGAGCTGCTGCCAGATTTGGTACGGCTGGGTCTCAAGATGCAACGGTTTATAAGAATGGTTGCTTAACATTCGCAAGGGCAAAGAACGGCTGCGCCCTTTTTTCTTTCCGAGCATGCGAACTTATTTTGGGGCCTCTTCTAGCAGGTCAACCCAAATGCACAGTGCGGGGTGGCCTCTTCTCGGTGACCATGAGCAATTGACCTTGCATCGTTAGCACCACGCGCCAGTTGCATTTCAATCTCTGTCACCATGACTCGCTTTTTGGTAGACAGGTCTGTTCCTTCAGAGAACAGAGTACTGGAAGCAGAGGGACCAGTGTTCGAGTCGCTTTCTGGACGGAGACTCCAATGAATT